GAAGTCAGAGCAGGCAGAACTAGAAAATGGGAAATTTTATTATCTGAGAATTATTTTGTGCATTAAGTAGAATGAACATGGTTTGGATAGCCCACAGACATACAATAAAAATTTCTAGGACTCATAATTCGTCTCCTTTAAATCCAAAAGCAAATCAATTGTTGTCGTCCAACATTTACTTTTGTTAAAACTGGTCCAGTGGTTGATGAGATATTTTGAAAACAGACAGACTTATGATCACAAATGTCTTTTTTTTTAAATACAGTTGTAATTTCTAAATAATCTCCTGTATTTTTGAATGGAGTGACTCAGAACTAAACAGCAGTGGTTCAGCTCTTGTCTTCCTGAATCTCAAATTGCAGTAAATCCATAAAGGTTATCAGTGTGTCAAAGACAGGATAAAAAAATATAATGGGATGTGTTTGCCTCATTCCTCAGTTAATGGTGTTAAACTCTATTGGATAAAAAGGGGCTTTTGCCTGAGAGTTTAGGAAGGGCCCCCCGAACGTGGCCTTAGACCTGTGGCACCGGTCCAACAGCCTCTAATCGAGCCATAAAGCAATTACCAGGAAATACAGATGGAGACAAATGGAGGGTGAGGGGTAGATGGATTATGGGACAAATAAATATAGAGGAGAGGATTTATAGCGTGCTGAGTGGGAAGAAGGAAAGAAACGAAGGGGAAAATAGGAATGTAAATTCATTATGACAACGAGGAAATTGATGGCGGGAAACACAATTTGTGCCATTTGATATCACCATTAGCTGATAATCTGTGAGAGAGAAAGCTGACTGTTGTATTTCAGCCTGCAGATCAGACGGTCCTGATGGCCCGGCTCGCTCCCCTGGATCTGTTTCATCTGTGTCGTCAGCTTTAATATCTTTACAGTTATTTTTTTTAAACTATGAAACATGGCAGCACGATACCAGAGAAGGAGAATAGAAAAGTACTTCTTCAGATATCTTATAATCAGAACTTGGTACGTGTGGTTGTACTGTATGTGGAGGTGTACCTATTCAAACCAGTCAGAACGCTTTGAATATGCAAAGCAGAACCAAAAGTTTTTTTTTTTATCAGTCTTTCACCCGCTGGTGCTTTTCTTTTCTCTTCTGATGTTCAGAAATCACAGTGCAACCTTTAAGAAAATTTAGATTTAAAAACTACAGAATCTTAAAAAAACATACAGGATGATACAAAANGGTGTACCTATTCAAACCAGTCAGAACGCTTTGAATATGCAAAGCAGAACCAAAAGTTTTTTTTTTTTTTATCAGTCTTTCACCCGCTGGTGCTTTTCTTTTCTCTTCTGATGTTCAGAAATCACAATGCAGCCTTTAAGAAAATTTAGATTTAAAAACTACAGAATCTTAAAAAAACATACAGGATGATACAAAATTGAAGATTTGGGATGTTCATGAAAAAAATTGGTAGGTTATTACTAATTTGAATACTACATATTAAAAATACTTTTCTATGATATAAACCTACAATTCATGTATAAAGTTTCCTGTTTTTATTAACACCATTTATGCTGAAATTGGCAAAAAAAAAAACAATCAATGAAATCAGAATAGTAAATTTGTGCAAATTATTAAAAAGAATTAACGAAATGCATTTCTTGTATGTGGCTTGTTGGAGAGGAAAATGTATACTCATAAAATGAGAGCAGATGGCTTGATAAGCTGGACGTGTTTATAGTGTATAGGCGTTAAAGCTCAGCGTGTGTGTGTGTGTGTGTGTGTGGGCGAAGTCTTGATTTTCTTTGTGTGAGCATATACTGTATGGGCATGTGTGTGGGTGGCTGTTTGTGTGTGTAGTGCTTCGATTTCCACAGGGTAACGGTGAAAAATCTAACAGAAAAATGCTTCCTCTGAACAAACCTATTGCCGCTTGCATGTTTAAAACAATGTATTATAACAYCTATATGCGTTTTTATTTTGTCCTCTCAGGCGTAACAGTGAGGTGACCCACATTAAGATCCAGAACTCTGGAGACTACTATGACCTGTACGGAGGTGAGAAGTTCGCCACGCTAGCCGAGCTGGTGCAGTATTACACCGAACAACAGGATCTCCTCCGTGAGAGGAACGGCCATGTCATCGAGCTCAAGTATCCGCTCAACTGCAAAGACCCGACCTCTGAGAGGTAAAATTAAACCTGCGCACCTTCAAAATAAAAGGCCTTTATATTTGCGTTTGATTGCACTACAGTATGYGGATCAAATCAGGAACAAATACACGTGTAAATTTAGTCGATGTACTTTTGATATGTTTGACCAAAACTCCATTATAACTGTGTGTGAGTTCATTTCTGRTCACAGTCAGATAAAGCTTTATAGGAAGTATCTAAACCACAGATAACCTCAACAGAAGTTTGTTCTGTGTTTCTCTGTTTTCAAAGCTTTTCTATCATGCAGAAAACTAAAGTCTGGGGTAACGTAGTGCGTTGCAGTGCATTGCAATGCATTGCAATGCATTGCAGTTCGGAACATAATTTGGGGCGGCTCAGGCAGAGTGGTTAGGGGAGTCTTCCTATAACTGATGGGTTGCCGGTTTGATCCCCTGTTCCAGCCGTCTCTGATCATTTTGTACAGGAATGAAAACCCTCAGGTAGTGTGCAAAGATATCCCCAAGACAATCCAGCTCATAATAGCAGGTATAAGATKCAGGCAAGTGACTGGAATAATATAATGTCCCGAAGTAAAAGCTGCATGAACTGGGTTAAGATCCTGTAGGACTTCAGATTCAGACTAATGAACAGGTGATGACTAACTAACCAGACCAAGAAACAGGAAACTGGTTTTTTTTTTGTTTTGTTTTGTTTTGTTTTGTTTTGTTTTTGTCCTACAAGGGGAAATTCAGGTGCAACAGCAGCAAAAAATATAGAAGTTCACACAAAGGTGTTAAAAACAACATATAGAAAATAGGATTAACAATAACCATGATAATATACTGAACAAGACTATAACAGAAAACACTGTGTAGTTATTAGAAATAGGCTTGTCAGATTTCCAATACAAACATGTACCAACATTAGAAACTGAAATGCTAAGAACTAAACACACAGATGTCAAAGGTTAAAGCCACAGTGATGCTGGTGGGAATCAGAACATTGGAGACTGTGACCC